AAATCTAGCCTTGTGTTTTGCTCCTTGAGTGTAAGGTTTTGCTAATTGTTGGAAAAGTTTAATTTTAGTGTGTAAGCAATCGTAAAAAACTGTAATAGACGACCCTGCAGGAGGTTTGCAGTGTTATTGTGATGCTCGTTGTGTCCAGCAGGTGTCGCAGGTGTCCCGCGGTCCGAGCACGACGTGGATTGTGCGCATGCGCAGAGACTCCTGAAGAACTTCTGGAGTGACTTTTATTTCCGAGTGATTGAGTGTTTAACATTCGCAGTTCGACCGCTGAGAGCGGTTCGGGATGAGTCTGGCGCCGGGGGACCCGCTGCTGTGGATCCGCGTGTGTGATGAGGGCGTTCTGGAGGATCCGGGCGGGTTCGGTCATGTGGACGGCACCGATGAGGAGGGAAACACGGCGCTCATGTTCGCCTCCGCCGGGGGACACGAGCAGCTGGTCCGGTTCCTGCGGAGGAAAGGAGCGCCAGTGGACCGACGGAACCATTACGGCTGGACGCCACTGATGCAAGCTGCGAGGTTACTGTAACAATCACGAGAAACAGTCTGACACACTTCAGACAAACACACGAGAAACAGTCTGACACACTTCAGACAAACACAGTGACACATGCATTCAGCTCGTAACACTTCAGAAGGATCAGTGTCTTAAATTAAGGCTTATTGTTACTTTTAATCATCATAAGATGATCCGTTATCTTGATATGAACACTCATCAATTCATCATAATTCTTAATTTTTACATACAATCATCTGGAGTTTAGTTGAGATGAATTTGCCTTGTGATACGGAAGATAATTATAATGACTGATTAGCATTATATTTATAATTGCATTGGGTGCTGTTCTCAGCTGTAATAAACTACAGTGACTCACTTTACAAATTAATATAATATTAATATACAGCCAAGATATAATAAATACAGCAAATTATAATACATTATTTTAGCATGCCAAAAAAAATTCCTTTTGAAATTTCTATTTCAAATTAGATTTCAATTTAGATTTTAGAATGTATTTGTCCTCAGAAAGGAAAGTCATTTTCACAGAAGGTGCGTATATAACACAAGGATATCTACACATTATATACAGACTTGTCACAATACATTCAAGAACAATCACGTCCCCCACCAAAGAAACAACAACAAATGCAAGAGTGTAAGATGATGGCTGATTTCCTATGTGTTTAAAACATGTAGGAACAAAACTCTTACTATAGTTAGTCCTCCTACACATTTTAACATTTATTTTATTTCAAGTAGCATTTTTTAATGGTTTTAATTTTAGCTTTAGTTGACGTTAACATCCCTGAGATGCAGAAGCTCTTCTGATGGCTCTGGTTCTCTGTGTTGCGGTCAGCAGGTCCGGTCATCTGAGCGTGGCTCATATTCTGCTGGAGAGCGGCGCGGAGATCAACAGCAGGAACCGGATGGGTGCCAGCGTCCTGAGCATGGCTGCTCGCGGAGGGAACGCTCACGTGGCCTAACCCTAACCTAACCCTAACCCTAACACGTCATATTGTGTCAAATCTAGAAACAGGTTTGTGTTGTCTGATAATGTTAATAATAATATTACTCTTAAATACACATTTGATAGTAGCTTGAGTTAGGATGCAGATGCAAATTTTTGTTCATTATCAAAATGAGTAACATCTGTAAAATTGTAGCAACCTCTTTTTTATATGGTGAAATTTAACTATTCTGACAGTTTTTTTAATTTTTATTAACTATTGGTCTCCCATTAGTAGCCCTTACAAAAATTAACCATGGTTTTACTACAAATGAACCCAAAAAAACATGGTTACTATAGTTAAACCATGGTAACCACAAATTAACCATAGTTTTGCTACACTAACCATAGTTTAACCATGGTATTTGTAGTAAAACTGTGGTTACACAAATGGTAATCTATACACCAAAAAAACATGGTTACTACACTTTTACTACAATAAAACCATGGTTAATTTGACATTTCATGATAATCACAGTTAAAACCGAACATATAGCACACCTCAATACAGAACTTTGACCCGAGCGGATAAACACTGCATGTGACGCGCTTCAAATGAGTTGCGCTGTTTCGTTACGCTTTTGGCGCATAAATATTATATCGAACATTTATGGAACTCTTCATATCGTTTTATCGAGGAAAATTATATCGCGATAATTATCGTTATCGATTTCTCGCCCAGCCCTAATCTGACGTTTGTGAAACACGTCTGAGTAGAAGTGCGTCCGCTGAGCATTGAAGCTCTTCTAACCAGGATTCTTCTTGAAATTTCTTTGTAGTCCAGGAAAACGTTGAGTTGATGCTCGTTAGTCGCGCTAGTGTTAACGACCCTCTGTCTCGTGTCTGTCACAAACTGAACCTCGAGGACCAGTGGGACGTTCACTTACAGCTGGACATTACCTAGTGAGACTGGTTAGTGCTGGACTGGTCAGTGTTGGACTGGTCAGTGATGGACTGGTCAGTGATGGACTGGTCAGTGCTGGGCTGGACTGGTTAGTGCTGGGCTGGTCAGTGTTGGACTGGTTAGTGCTGGACTGGTCAGTGTTGGGACTGGTTAGTGCTGGACTGGTCAGTGATGGACTGGTTAGTGTTGGACTGGTCAGTGTTGGACTGGTTAGTGCTGGGCTGGACTGGTTAGTGCTGGACTGGTCAGTGATGGACTGGTTAGTGCTGGACTGGTCAGTGTTGGACTGGTTAGTGCTGGACTGGTTAGTGCTGGGCTGGACTGGTTAGTGCTGGACTGGTCAGTGATGGACTGGTTAGTGCTGTACTGGTCATGTGAACAATCTGCCAGTCTATTTTGAACAAATGTGCATAAACCACGTAAGGTTAAATTAAGTCTTTCTTTGGTCTGCGTTCTGGAAGTGATCTGTTCATTCTGCTAAACTTTAATTACTGAAACTACAACTAAAACTGAATCTAAACTATAAAAAAATGAAATAGAAATGTGTTCACAAAATAAAAACTACGGTAAAACTAGCAAAATCATTAATGAAACTAATAAAAATGAAACTGAATTTTATAGGAAATTTGAAAACTATTAAAATAAAAATGAATTTAAAAATGCAAAACTATAATAACCTTGCATGAAATCATTTACTTTTAGTAAAATTGAAGAGTGTTTTGAAATATCGAAAATTAAGAAATTTTGATATGAAGTGTTACAGCTGATATTTCTATGCTCATTTCATTACTTTCACGCAGAATTTTGAGGTGGTCTGTTTAAAGCCGCAAGCCTTTATTAGTGTAGTTTCATCAGCACGCTCCTCGTTTTGCTGGAGAGACACTCTTTGATCTCCGGCTGTTTCATGTCATTACATGTGCTTTGTATTGTATTGATTGTGTGGGCTTAACGATCACAGCGCTGTAGATTGTGTGTGTCAGTGATGTGGTGTTGTGCTGTAGGAAACGCTCAACTGGTGAAGGAGATCGTGGAGGAGGACGCGTCTCAGGTGAACGTCTCTAACGCAGACGGAGCGTCTCCTCTGATGATGGCGGCGGTCAGCGGGCAGCTGGAGGTGGTGCAGCTGCTGGTGGAGAAGCACGCAGACATGGACAGACAGGACTCGGTGCACGGCTGGACGGCGCTCATGCAGGCCACCTATCACGGGTGCGTGTGCCATAGCGCTGGTGTTTGTCAAGTCACCTTTATTTATACAGCACTTTTAACAATACAGATTGTGTCAAAGCAGCTTTACAGTATTAAACAGGAAAATAGTGTGTAATAATGCAGAAGGACAATAGTAAACACTCAATTTTCAGTTAAAGGCAGTTTATCATTAATTCAGTGATGTCATCATCCAGCTCAGTTCAGTTTAAATAGTATCTGTGCAATCA